GGTTATTCTTGTATTTAGGGGCGATGGGCATCATGTCTGCAGCTTGCTCTTAAATTCAGAAAAAGATGAATGGGGGGGGACGGGGTGGAATGGGTCATTGGGGAGAAAAAGAGACATCTGTAATATTTTAAACAAAATAAATAAATAAATAAAATTTTAAAAAATTAAAAAATAAAGAAAACTGGCCAAACAATAACTATTTCCTCCTATTTTCACAATAGCCCTGCCAATAGGAAAACCAAACAGGTAAAGAAACTAGAACTTAGAGAACTGCAGTAACTTGCCCAGTCTCCCAGCTGGTAAGTGATGGAGCTGGGATTACAATACAGCTCAGATCTGACCATGTGCACTGAATTCCCTGCACCAAGCTCTGCCTTGTTTGTTTGGAGCAATGCTTTGTGAGAAGCTTTCTAAATGGTGTATGTAAGAGCCAAGTAAGAGACAGCAAAAGTAAAAAACTAAAGTATCCTATCTGTGTAGACAGAGATTCATAGCCAGAGAATTATTTTACTGAATTCTACTTTTTAATTAAGAATATGTTCTACAGAGATGTAAATTACAGCATCGGGAATAGAGTCAATGATGTAATAACTATGCTTGGGGCCGGGTGGACATTTGAATCATCGGGGCAAACACTGTAAAAGACATGATGTTCTAACCACTATGCTTTAGAGCTGAAACTAATACAAAATAATATTGAATGTAAGATGTAATTGGGAAAAAAGAACATGTTCTAGACATTTGGCTAACGTGGTTCCACATAACACGCCCCAACATGTTTCTCTTCAAGTCGTCACACCCAAAGGATCAGCAGTTCTAAGCTCCTAACAATGTTGAAAAGTCACTGAACCCCCCCCATACCCAAACTACCCCTTACACACACACACACACACACACACCCCTCTTTGGAGGGCTTGTTCCATTCGTCACCCTTACCAGAATTTAACAAGAACAAATGGAGTGAGGAAGAAGTTTTGGTACCAATTCCTTCCCCTATCAATTTATAATTATATATTGAATGGCTGCTGCACGCCTGATCTTGAGGGGAGGCGGGATGGCCTGCGCCTCCTGATTTATGGCTCGTCACGCACCTTACTCATCCCGCCCGGGGCGGCCGCAACAGCTCCAACAGGCTCAGCCAGCTTTACGGATGGGAAACGCCACCAGGGATGCGGAGGGGAGCGCCTGCCAGTGGGAACAAACCTAACATCTCAGGCCAAAAGTGGGCGACGTGCTACATTTACCTCAGTTTAGGAGTCCAGAGACTTTGTATATTTGAGCAAGAAGGGTGTTTTCTCTAGTGCCACCTTCAGTGAAACAGATTTCAGGATTGAACCCACACTTTTACTAGCTGAAAGTAGAGAGAAATTTTGCAAAGTTCATCAAAATTCATTAGCTTATCTGCTCCAAAAATGTCACCTTTCCCAACTAACTGAAAATGGACACATTTGTTTTCAGAAGACCTAATTTTTACTTCTAAAAACATTTTTTAAAACAAGTTTTTAGTTAATATCGAAGAGAATCACACATATAAAATAATAAATACACTATGCAACAATTAAGATTAAACTGCATAATTTAAATATCCTAAGTTACAATTGCACCCCAATTCAAAATTTCAATTCGAAGCCATTTTCCCCTGCCAGGGACCCCTCAAAAGACAAGTTTGTCTCTTCCCCTTCTATTCTGTTTAGTTTTTTATTTGTAGTATAACACAACTGCCTA